TGTAGGTTTGCAGTCGAAAGAGTACTTGCTCATCTTGCTGTAAAGGCACAAGTCCAAAACCATAGTTTAAAAGCGGGTGAAGGAAGTTCCTTCTATATTTCTCGTTTCCTCTGAAATTTCCTATGGAGCTCGAAAATTATTCATTACAAGTTTTAAAGGCAAAGACTGCAATGAGATAAAATGTGGTAAAATGAAAGATTCATTTCTTACGCAGCCAGTAGATGTTGAGTCATGCACTGATGCTTAGACCGGATGAGCATGTAGTCATAACTCACAGTCTTTTAACTCAAGTGAGCGGTGAAGAAGAGGAGAGGACATCGCTGCATAATTTCATGCAGGTACGACTTGAACAAACGTGTCTACGTCTTCAAACATTTTTATGAACTTCGTACACTTGGATATTTTACCGAGAGATAAAGGATAACCAATCAAAGAAGTTTACTACCTATGTGGCACGTATAGTGTAAGAAAAGAAAATACTAAAAAAAGGTATGAGTTGAGCAGTAAGTCTTTTAAAAAAAGAAGTAAAAGCATTAGGCTCAGATAGTATTACTTTTTACGCGGTGATTGACCATGACTTGAAGGTAACACGCAACGACTGATAAGGATTGCTGCATTTACAGATACTTTAAAGATAAGGAATTCCACATAAGGCTCTCAAATGGTAGAATTAAAGAGAAGAGATTCAAAAGGATAATTAATTTGAAATAGTGAATGATAATTCCTACTTCTCGTTGTATTCAATAAAGTAGCAGTATTTAACAGCCAGCAAGATAACTAACACATTTACATCGTAACCATTTATTTTAAAAAATGATTAACCTTTAAAATGCAAAGATAGGTAACAGACATGAATTCGACGAGGATTTATTATCTCGAACTTAGCAGATCTCACTTCGCTCTTTCGAAGAAGCAGAAATATCAGAATACGGTATGATACTATATCACAATTAAAAGCTACACGTAAACCGGACTTGTTAGCTAAAATTGTAAAAGCAAGCAGTATTAAGGGAATTACTTACCTTAAGATGGGAACCTATGACGTGAAAAAAGAATCTCTTCAGAAAAAGTGGGTACTGTAGACACAAACGAAAGGTTCTAAATCTTCGAAGAACGAAGTATTCTACGAGCTTATTCCAAGCACTTTGGCCAAGGCATATAGAATCTACGTGTTAGACTGATCACGATGGAAACTAATTCTTGTTGAGGACTGCACCTGCAGATGAGGCTTTTTCCATCTTTTTGTGTTCTTCATCTTTATAAGTAACACCGAAGATCGTGACTCCAGCAACAAGTGCAGTCACAGTGAAGAACTGTGCAATGATTCGGTACTGCATGAATTTCTGAGCTCTCATTTTGTCGCCAACGAATGAAGATCTGAAAGGTTACGATATAAGAGCTTGAGTAATATTGGTTATATATCCCAAAAAGTAAGAGCAGGTTTGCAGTGATAAGACAGTAAAAGCAGAAAAATTGTCTTTTTATTAAATTATCCGGAAAGTGTTGAAAGATATTTTACCCAAATTCTCGTAATTTCGCTTTGATAATAGATACTGTAAAACGATTTGATAGCAAAAAAAAAAACAATGTTAACAATTTCTTTCAAAACTTTACTTGCAGCTCACATCCTATTCAAGATTATATATCAGAACAAATGATCACTGACAGGCTGTTG